GCCCCCCCCCCCCCCCCCCGCCGCTCTCCCGCCCCGGCGCAATCGGCGACAGGCACGGGGGGAGGCTGGGGCTGCTTTTCAATTTGCCTTTTCATTTTATTCCATTTTATTCTTCCCCCCTCCCCCAGCCGAGCGAACTTCCCCGGCAGGGCGCAATGCATATATATACACACATATATATAAAATATATCATTAAGTGCGTAGATGTGTTTATTTGATTATTATCATTAGATCCGCGGCTACGAAGGGGGTAAAAGAGGGGGGAAGAGGGAGAAGGGGACGGCGATACCGAGCTCAGTCGGCTCCGGAGCGCCTCGGCAGCCCGGGGATGAGCGCCCCCGCACGGAGAACCGCGACGGGACGGGACTCCGCGCTCCCGCGGCCGCGCTCCCTCCCCGTCCCGTCCCGTCGCGGTGCCCCACGGATTTTTTTCGGGCTGAAAAGGCTCTGGCGGGGTTTCTCCCTCCCGGTCTCGGGGATGCTGCACGGAGAAGCTGCCTCCAAACTGAGCCGCACACCCCGGTCCCCGCTGCGGGGCAGAGCATCAGATGCCGGGGAGGGGAGGAGGGGGAGATCCCCCGAGGGCTTCCAGCACCCCTGCCCGCCCTGCCCCGGCTGGGCTGCACCTCGCAGCCCGTCCCCAAGCGCACCCCCAGCCCTGAAAGCCATCCTCAATCCGGACTGCATGTGCAACCCCATCGCCATCTCCGACCCCACGCTCATGCAGCGCTCCATAATCATCTCCATCAGCAAAGCCTTTTCCCCAGCTCCAGGCACAGCCCTGGAGCCCTATTCCCATTGCTACCTAACCCCATGCCGACGCACAGTCCCATCCCCGACCCCTGTCCTCATCTCTGGTCCCATGCTCAAATCCATGCACAGCTCCATCCCCGTCAAACAACTGTTGCACAGCCCCTACCCCGTTAAGCTCCATCTGCATCCCCATGCACTACCCCATCCCGTGCAACCAGCCCCTGCTCAGACCAATGCACAACCCCATTCCCTAAACAACGCACAAACCCCGTCCTCACGCAAAACCACTCACAACCCCATCCCAGGCACAAACCTGTGCTCAGACCAACGTACAATCTCCATGCCCGTGTACAACCACATCCCTACGTTCTCAAAGTAAGGCACAACCCTGTCTCCATGCCCAAACCTGTGCAAAAGCCCCATCCCCAAGCCCAAATCCATGCAGAAGCCCCATCCCCAAGCCCATATCCATGCAGAAGCCCCATCCCCAAATCCAAATCCATGCAGAAGCCCCATCCCCAAGCCCAAATCCATGCAGAAGCCCCATCTCCAAACCCATGCAGAAGCCCCAAACCCATGCAGAAGCCCCATTCCCATGCTGAAACCCATGCAGAAGCCCCATCCCCAAGCCCAAAACATGCAGAAGCCCCATTCTCATGCCAAAACCCATGCCGAAGCCCCATCCCCAAGCCCAAACTCGTGCAGAACTCGCATCCCCAAGCCCACGCAGCAGCCCCAACCCCCCGCCCCAAGCCC